TCTTTAGCATTTTCCTTGGAGCTGTTTATCCTTGCCAGCAACCCCTTTCAGGGGGCACTGCCTGTAATAGTTCATGGCTTCAGCCACTGGTTACAACACTACTATAAGCATATCCAACAGAGACAGGGATTTCCAACAAGAGGTGCAGTGCCTCCACCCTGATGCTTTGGGGGAAGTTAGATAAGTTTTATCTGAGGACAGTTTGACCTAGGTTTCCATAGCGCCCTACAATAAGATATATGTAAGCAGTGCCTCTAGCTCTTTACCAAACTGGTGGTTCTGCCATGATTTGCTGACCCCTCTTCCTCCTGCTGCTGCTCTCGTATCACTTTGCTCATCTGTCTTGGGTCTACTGACTTGGTTGCTTCCATGTGTCCAGTACTGCTGTTGCTGCCCCTGCTACTACCCTCAGTTATTGCTCCTCTGGCAGGCCAGGTAGGTATCATGACTAAAGAAGAGAGTGGGCTTGGGGAGAATTCACTGGGCAGTCCATAAACAGAGGAGGTGTGGGAGGCTCATAGATTCCCTTTCCCACAACATAAGAGGAGGAGGGAACCCCAGATACCTTACTGACCATGTGAAGGCTCCTGATGCTGACCTGATCTTGATCCTCTTTTCTGAGCTCCTGTGCTGAGATGAAAGAAAGAATAGATATAGTGAAGATTCCTAAAACAGACTGCCCCAGGATTCTCAGAACCAGTCTCAGGATCCTCCTTCTGGCATGCAGAGTATTTTAAGGTAAGAGCAATAAAACCCCTAGAGGTTGAGGGAATTTTGTCTATGCCTGAGTCCTGTACGCTTCCCTAACCTGAGAAGACACTGTCACTCTCTAAACTTTTCCCTTTCCTCACCAAGAGGCAATCATTATTCCCCTCTTTCAAGACTTGGAAGAATGGAGTCTTTAAAGACTCCAGGTGAATATTACTCTCTAAACGTGCCTTCTCTATCTGAGAATTTCATCTTTACTCCTAGAGTAAAATGAGGTCTCCGCTTTCCCCTTCTTAGCACCTTGGACATCTCAACACCAAATTTATACGCCTTTCTCGCAATCAATGTCAGGATCTGCATAATCATGGTAGCTGCCCCCCCCATGCCCATGAATGATATTACATTTATTTTTTTCCTTTCCTAACCTATCTCGTGTTGTTTTCATTATTCATCCAGTTCAAGAAGACCCCAGAGTCCTGGGTCGGGGTGTTCCCCTGTGCACTGAAATAGAGAACCCACACTAGGAAACCACAGGATCTGCTCGCTTTTCTTCTTGTAACTGAGCACACTGAGGACTTATAATTAAACAAATTATGTGGTCATCAACCCACACTCCCACTTGATGCAGGAATATCCTCAACGGCACCTCTGTCAAATCATCTTTCTAATTCACTTGAATTAGAACTAGGGAGAACACTATTACAATATACATCCTCACATAAACATCTTCACATTTCTTTATTTTCTATGCTTGTGCTAGTACTTCTATAGGAATTATAAAAGTCAAGGGTACATACATTTTACATTTTTCAAGGAATAATTCTTTTTTTAAGATTTATTTTTATTTATTTATACATACATAAACTGGGGTGTAGGCCAGAAGTGCGGTGAGTAAGAGGACTCACCAGAGACAGAGTGGGGAGCAGAACAGGCAGATCTACTTAAATACACTGCTGAGGGGAGCAGCAGGTGAGACAGGAGAGGGCTGGTATGCCATATGTGGGTTAGCTCCCTGGGAAAGGAACAAACTCATGCTGCAGTGGCTGATGATAGCTCGATAGTGCTGAGACTTTAACCTCTGAGCCACCAGGGAGGCCCACATTTTACATTTTGATATCAGGGAACAGATTGTGCAAATGTTCATACCCTCATGTTACAGTCATTTATAGTAGGGGGCTAATAGTCATGGGAAGATAGATTACAGTTCAAACAAAGGAGAACTTTTTAATAGCTTAAAATATTCCACAACAGATCACTCTTTCTTGATTGGAGTAGTAAACATGCAAGAGATTGGAGTATCATCACACTTCTCTAATCATGTATATGATTACAGCAGTCAATATCTAAGGGATATATGAAATTAAGCCTCGTGGTGTATTCTGGAGAAGCACCAGGAACCTCTCCAATGTGACAAGTCTGCTAATGGTAGGCCCTTTGGGTTTGGACTTTTTCACATGTATTACATTTTCCATGTAAGCCTCAGTGCCTTGCAGAACCAGCATTCAGATGTTCTCTCAAAATCTGTTGGCCCCATCTTGCTGAATTGCAGCAGAGATTTACTTCAGGGCACTTGTCTTTGATTCAACAATAGGCATGTCTACTGCCCATTACCAGGCATGGCCTGATAATTGCTATAATCCTCCAATGGCATTCACAAGAGATAGACTGGCTTTTCCTTATAGGCAACGAAGTCCTTCATGTATCTGAAGGAATACAAAACTGCCAGAAGGAAAAAATAGGCAGTGGCAAGCTTCAGGCATAGCTGTGCTTTCCCAGACTTCAAACAAAACAGACTGGAGAGTGCTAAGAATGTTACTGGAATAGGCCAGGGTTCTTGTGCTGCCTGTTACTACCAAAAAGCCAATAAGCACAGACAGGAACTGAATCTATATAAGCACTTTGATTTTTCACATTGCAGGCCACTGATCGGGGTGAATGGTGGGCATAACACCACGAAGAGACTGTTCTGCCATCTCCCCCTAATTGGCCTTTTTATATTGAGTTAAACAAAGGCACTGACTCATAAGCAAATAGCCCATTAGAACAGCCTGTCACAGCTGATGTTTCTGGTATTTGTCATGTTCAGCCCCCAGAACTTATCATCAGCCTCTTGGTTACCTTGACCCTGGTACAGCTCATGGTGTCAATGTCCGACACTCCTGTGGGTGTCATCAGGGCAGGACTCTGTTTACAGCCAGGATTTTTGTTTAAAGAAAACAGATCATTACTCACACAGTGCGTATGTGCAGCCTATGCTATGCATACAGATTCCTATACTAGGTATGATGCCTTTCCCTTCCTCTCTAGCCCCTTATATTTAGGTTTGCAACCTATTCCCTTGATGATCCAGAGACATCTAACATCATGTTCTTCATAAACTGTGGCTGGTAGGGCCAACAGCATGACAGCAAATGGCCTAGAAGAGGGCTGGTGTGTGCAATGCTGTGTCATTTGAACATGATCATGTACATTATGTCTCCTCTTTTGCTGATCTAAATGAAGTCACTCTCAAACACTGGTATGTGCTTGAAGATATCATACACCACCTTTCTTATCAAGCTGTTATAGGACAGGGAGAGGGGCAGCCCAAACCTCCACTCTCCCTTGGGTGGAGCAGGGAACCTGGAACCTCCCCCTTTCCTGGGGACCACCCTGTTACAAAGCCATTGCTGAGAATCCCTTTGAGGTTTTAAACATACCCACTGTGGATTGAGTAGTTTGGTGATATGGATCACTACCCAAGGCTCGAATTTATCAAGAAAATTCTGCCTCTAGAATTTACCTCCCTGAAGGAGTTGTAATGTTGTTTTTTTCCCCCCTGGTTTCATCTGTTAATGACCAGAAATTTAGTGACATAAAACACCATAAAACAGCTTGTGGGAGCCCCTAGCCCAGGACTCTGCAGCAGGGGGCTCCGAGAGGAGATAACATTTGTTATCTCACAATTTCCATTGGTCAGGAGTCTAAGCCTAACTTTGAAGAATTATCTGCTCTGGATCTTACAAGGCTGCAATTGAAGTACAGGCCAGGATGGGGAGGTCTTACCTTAATTTTGGGGTCTTCTTCCAAGCTCATATGGCTTTTGAGAGAATTCCTATCTTTGAAGTTGTAGAACTCCTGGTCATTCTATTATAGCTCCCTACCTGTTCCTCTACAGCTCAAATAATTAATTTTTATTGTGAGTGGATTCACTGACAGACCCCAGTGAAGTGGTTTCGCACATAATTGTTAAATGAGTCATTACTACATTTAAATGTAGCTATTTGTAAACAATATTATTTTCCTTATTCGTTTTTCAGAAACTTGAGGACAGAGCCCTGAAACATTCATATTTGTCTCCCTTTAGGTGTCTAGCTCAGTTCCTGTTTTAGCAATGCTCAAATCTGCATTTTGAAAAATAGAGATTAGGGGCAAGAACAAAGGTGGGTATAGGAGAGCAAGAAAGGGTGTAATTGTAACAGGGAGGTCCCCAGGAAAGGGGGAGGTTCCCTGCCCCACCCAAGGAAGGGTGGAGCTGAGCAGGAAGAGGAGAAGCTGCAAGAGACTGAGGAAGGAAGGAAGCAGGATGGAGCCTAGAGACACGTTAAGAAACTGCGCTTGTCTTTTGGTCGTGGACTGGGTGACACAGATGTGGGTGAGACCCGTGGGGAGGTGACAATGGCAGCTTTTATCTTGATGTTGATTTTGCTCTTTTCCTTCCGGGCTTGTCCGGTTGTTTGTGACCCTTTTCTGTGGGTCCCCACTGGAAGATGCTTTAGACTTGTGGCAGGCTTTGGGGCCTTGCTCTGGGCCGACCCCATATGGATGGACTTTTACCCACGAGGGGATGGGTAACTTTGGGTGCTTCATTTAGAAACTAGACTCTTTGCCTCACCTGTATTGTTTCCTAGTTTAATTAAAGTTCCTTCCCATTAAAGTCTCATATGTTTTGTGTTGATGCGGCGGATGGCAGAACCCATTTAGAATAGGCAGGTTTGCGGGGTTTGGGCTGCCCCTCTCCCTGTCCTATAACATAATTAGCGTGAATTTGAGGAAAGTCAGGCTGGAAACAAACAAGGGAGGCCCCAACACCAGCCATTTCATCCAAGCTCCACACAAGACTGCGCCTCCTCACGTGACGTCAGGGGCGCCTTCAAGAAGCTGAAGCTACACCTATCGCGAGAAAGTTACGTCACTCGGTGTCCCGCCTTCCTCGAGTTCTTCCCACTCCCTCGTCCTCACTCCCACCTTGAAGCAGCCGCGTGTGACGTCAGGACGCGACGCGTGCGTGGTTGCGGCGCAGGGGGCGGGCCCGCGGCGCAGCGCCTGAGGAGGAAGTGGTGCGGGTTGTTGCTGCCTCAGCGCGCGCCGCTGTCTCCCCGGGCGCGGAGAGTGGCCGCCGTCCCCGCCGTGGGTCGCGCTGCCCTCTTGATCCCCTCCATGTGCCCCGGCGCCCGTGCTCCCCTTCCTCAGGCCGCCGCTTGTCCCGGGGTCTATGGAAGTAATGGAAGGACCCCTCAACCTGGTGAGTGGCCCACAGAGGACAGAGTTCACCGTCGGGCGCCTTTGCCTCAGGAGCCCTGTGGTGGCCCTGGCTTGCCGCTGACCCTCGAGGGAGGGTTGGCGTCGGTGGTCTGAAAGGCCGGGGGGCTCTGGCCGCTCCGGGCTAGCTGTCCCAATCCTTGCCCCCTCCGGGGGGTCCACGGGAAGCTCCTGTGTCCCAGTTCCCGCCTCCTCCGGGCGCCCCCTGCCGCAGAGTCCTGAGCTAGGGGCTCCCACAAGCCGGGGCTGCCACCTCCTCTCCAGGCCGGAGGAAATGCCTCCATGCGCCACGTAGCCACCTTCCTGCAGCTTGGAGAGACACCGAAGCCGGCCAGGGCAGAAATGGATGGTAATACTGGTTTTAACTTCCAACACAGAGGGCCTGAAGTCTGAACCTGCCCACTCTGGAGAGGTGGAGTAATACTCCCTCTCATCCTCGTTTCCCCCCTTTACCTACTTTCTTCTGCATCCACTGAGTCTCCCAGCACCAGTAACTTAGAGGCAGTTGGAAAAAAATAGCGACTCGTCGCGTTTAGCTCAGCTTCATCATTTTAGTTATGGAAAATACGATTGTTCTTTTATTTTCTCAGAAAGAGTGATGATGGCTTCTATGTTTACGTTTTTTAGGCAGTACAGGTGTTGCGATCAAAACAACGGGAAAATTGAGTTCTTTTCTGACGGGCTACTGCTTGTTTTGGTTTTCCGTTGAGGTAGTTACCTGTTTTGGATACAAAAGTCGGATGACTTAAAATTGCAGACAGCAGAAACTTGAAGAGTCGCAGGTTTGCAATTCAGTTGCGAAGGTGGGATTGGAAAAAAGGAAGTGTGGTTAGTTTCTCAGGTTGAAATTCTGACCTTTAGTGGTCAAAGGGCTCTGGACTAGATTGAAACCATTCTATAGAAAAGCAGTAAAGGCTAGTTATTTAGATTGTGAAGCTAGATTGCTTGGATTCTGGCTTTGTCATTTAATAGCTTTGTGACCTTGGACACATTAGCTGATCTCAGTATGGTTTGTTGTGAGGATTAAAGGAGTAAATAGAAGAAAGTGAAAATCAAAATCAACAAAAAACTATGAACCAGAGACACTTTTTGGGGGGGGGCGGGAGGGGAAGGATTGCGGTCAGAATGGGGCGTTTGCAATTGTATGGGGGAATATAAAAATAAAATTTAAGATTAAAAAAAAAAATAAAGGAGTAAATAGGTGTAAAATGCTTAGGCTATTGGTACTTGACACATAGTACAATGTAAAAATTAGGTATTATAACCAAACCATAAACCATTAATTTAAAATCTGACATGTAAATGTTTGTACTTGTTGAGCCTGAAAAAATGAGATCCTAGGACCTGAAATCATGGTTCCCAAATGACTGGTGCCAGGTTATTTGTTGTGGGAAGTGCCTTCCACTTTTGCCGAGTTGAGGCCTCTCCCCTTTAGTAAAGAGTTGTTTATACTTAAAGAATTAGTCCAGATTTGTGAGTTTTTACGAACCAGGGAAATACCTTGCACTTTTCTTGTTTTTAAGGTGACATATAGTTGTAATGAAATAATTGGATGACTCAATACTGAAATTTCACAGGCATATTATTAGAAATAAACAGTAGTTTACAAAGTGCTTCAAAGTTCAAGTGTCCTTGCAAAACGACCATTGGTTCAGTTCCAGTTAGCTTCACTTTATTTGGCTGCAGGCTGCAGACTATCCAGCCAACTGTCCCACTAGTGTGGTCACTTATGAGAAGATTGGAACTGGGTGACAGTTGTAGATGGTGCAGCAGAATCACCAGTTTAGGACAGATTTTTTTCTAGTGGAAAAATTTGAGGAGTCTTGTTAAGCAGGCTAGCATAATTCCATTATACAGTCATCAAATTTATGTGGACAAGTATCAGAAATTTGGCATCTTGAACTCTGAAATCATTTGAAATGTGAAAGACCTGAGTAGTTTGTTTGTTTGTTGGAAGATAACGATGGGGCAGAGGTTAACATTTACTTGAATCTTTTTAATTGTAAAATTCCAGCCAATGACAGACTTTTGAATTTATTGTCACTCACTTTTGAAAGACTGGGTTTTTTGAAGACAGCACACATTCTTTTATGTAACAGCCAGCTTAGAATCCACTGAGTAAACATGAGATACAGTTCTCAGTACAATGATTTAAGGAACGCCTTTGAAAATCATAGTATAGACAAGCTTTTTCTAATGCATCATAGTATCATCCACATTTATTGCATAGTGACTTATGATAGTACTTAGATATATAATCATGCATTCTCAGAACAATATTGGAATTTAGTAAGACCTGTTTTCCAGTTTTACATATAAATAAGTCTAGATTGATAGAAATTAAGTACTTAGATTAGTGACTTAAATACATTATGGTCCAAAACTTACTTTGTTATCTCTTTCTATTAGCATCACGCTCTAAGTGATTGAGCTAATCAGCCACCCATATCACCTCTCTCTAGCACTGTTTCTATGTTAATGTACTCATCATTTTTATTTTAGTATGATCCTTATACATATACAACTGTAGACTTGGTGTCAACATTTAGTGCTTCTGCTCTAGTATTGATTGATTTATGTTTGGTTGTCAGTAAAGGCCTGTAGCCTCATTTCCTCACAGTGAATTTTTTTCCAGTTGTATTCAGAAATATTTGACGTGTATCAATCAGTGTATAAGCTTAGGCATATAGCATGATGGCTTGGTTTACATATATTGTGAAATAATTACCACAATAGATTTAGCTAACATTCATATATATAAATACAACAAAAAGAAGACAGTGAAAGAAAAAAGCCATTTTTCTTGGGATAACTTAGAATTTGCTGTCTTAACTTTCCATACACCACACAGCAGTGTTTTACTAATTGTATCTATCTCTAGTACTTATCCTATAACTGGAAGTTTATACTTTTTATTACCCCCCCTTCCCTTTTCTGGTAACGACAAGACTGATCTCTTTTCCTATGATTATTTTTTTAAGATTTATTTTTATTTGTATATGCATAGAAGAACTGGGGTTTAGGCCAGAGGTGTAGGGTGGTGAGAGGACTCACCCAAGACAGAGTGGGGAGCAGAACTGGCGGATCTACTGAAATATACTGCTGAAGGGAGCAGAGGGCAAGACAGGAGAGATATGCTGCTCCACGTGGGTTACCTCCTTGACAAGGGATCAGACTCGTGGTGCAGTGGCTGGTGATAGCTTGATAACACTGAGACTTTAATTTCCTGTGCCACCAAGGAGGTCCTATGATTTTTTTTAAGACAACATATATGAGATCACACAATATTTGTCTTTTTCTACTTGATTTAGCATACTTCTTTCAAGGTCCATGTTGTAAATAGTAGGACTTCCTTGTTTTTTATGGCTAAATAATACTTTATCGTGTGTGTTGTATAGAGGTATGTAGGTATACATACCAAGGTATAGAGGTATGTAGGTATACATTCTCAGGTATGTAGGTATGTATTATTCATTCAGCCATCTGTGGATACTTCGGTTATTTCCATGTCTTGACTTTTGTAAATAATGCTGCAGTGAACATGGGGGTACAGATATCTTTTGAGTTAGTCTTATTGTTTCTTTTGAACAGATTCCCAGAAGCAGAATTGCAGGATCATATGGTAGTTACATTTTTAATATTTTTGAGGATCCTCCATACTGTTTTACATAGTGGCTGTACCAGTTTACAACCTAACCGATGTGCACAAGGGTTTCATTTTCTCCACATCTACCAGCATTTCTCTTTCTTTTCTTGATGATTGCCATTATAACAGGTGTGAAGAGATATCTCATTGTGGCTTTAATTTGCATTTCTTTAATGAGTTGTTCAGCATCTTTCAGATCTTTTGCCCATTTTAAAATTTAGTTACTTGCTTTCTTGCTGTGTTGAGTTGTATGAGTTCTTTAAATTTTTTGGATACTAATCTCTTATCAGATATATGGTTTGCAAATATTTTTCCCATTGCAGGTTGTCTTTTCACTTTCTGGATAGTTTCTTTGGCTGTGTAGAAGTTTTATGGTGTGATGTAGTCCTATTTGTTTGTTTTTGCTTTTGTTCTTGTGTTTAGGTGTCATAACCAGAAAAAATCAGTACCGAGACCCCATGTCAAGGAACTTTACTCCTATATTTTCTTTTTTGTGTTTCATGGTTTTAGGTCTTACATTGAAGACTTTAATCCATTTTGAGTTAGTTTTTGTGAGTGGTATAAGATAGGGGATTCTACTTTTATATGTGAATATCCAGTAGTTTTTGAACTTTAAATAGATTCATTTCTTCCATTTTTTACTTTTTGTCAGTATTTAATATGGAAAAAATTATAACTTAAAATTACTTAGTGTGTATTTAGGCATTCATGCAATACATTTCATTGTTTTTTAAGATTTTATTTATTTATGTGTATAAGAACTGGGGTTTAGGCCAGAGGTGTGGGGGGTGAGGGGAGTGGTGAAAAGATTCCCCAGGGACAGAGTAGGGAGCAGACTAGGCAGGATCTACTGAAATAAACGGCTGAGGTGAACAGTGGGTGAGGCAGGGGAGGTTGTGCCATGTGGGTTAGCTCCCTGGCTGGGAATGGAACTCATGCTGCTGTGGTTGATGATAGCTTGATAGTGTTGAGACTTAACCCCTGCGCCACCGGGGAGGCCCTCAAAACTTTTAATTTTGACAATGTGAGCATAGGTAGCAAATGTCAAAACTTGTGTGAGAATTTCTGGTTCTTTTGTTTGCAGGCTGTCTGGGAAGTGATGTGAGACCTTAATTTATACATGACAGTTGCTCTGTTTTTGCTTACCTACTCTGCAGATGCTTAAGGATAGGGTCCCTTTGACTACATGGAGAAAATTGCATTCTGTTTTAAGTGTTTGACCCTTAAGACAGAGGAGAATGTGTAGTTGCTGAGCTCTACTCCAGAGTGGTAATTCTTCTCATCCAAGAACAGGAATCAGATACCATGGTCCAAAGAATGGTATTGTATATACCTGG